GTACTGTCCTACCAGCAATCTAAAGGAATTCCAGTTGCTCCCTCTTCTGACCAACTCTTAGTATTGTTAGTTGTTTGAATAGTAAGCCATTATGCTGAGTATGTGATGGTATCTCATTGAAGATTTCGTTTGCATGGGTAATAGCGTTGAGCACATTTTCATGTGTTCACTGGCCAATTTTTATGTCTTTTTCTGTAAATTATCTCTTTGAGTCTTTTTTTTAATCAATTTTTTATTGTATTGACTTTTCCTTATTGACTTCTATGAGTTTTTAATGTATTATGGATAGGAGTCTTTTTTTAGAAATATGACTTGCTATCATCTTTTCCCAACTAGTGGCTTGTTATTTTTATTCACTTCATGGTATCTATTGATGAACAAAGTTATTAATTCTTTAAAGTTCAAATTCCTCAGTCTTTTCTTTTACGGCTAGTGCTTCTTGCTTCTTATATCCTGTTTAAGAAATCTTCGCCTGTCCCAAATCGATGAAGATATTCTCCTGTTTTCTTCCAGCTGATTTCTTATATAGATCTGTGTAAAATTTCTAAATTTGTGTGTGGTGTGAGATAAGTTTCCTTCTTCTTACAGCTGTCAGGTTCTCTACTCTGGCCTTGAGTTGGATATTCAAGGTCATAGGTTTTTGTTTGTTAGTTTGTTTGTTTTTGGTAAGCTCTCCAGTACATCCATAAATCATACTACCCCACAATCTTTACAAAAACCATGTTCATTTTTAACAATTTTTTTTGTTTAGTTGTTTTTTTGGAGGGGGGTGGTACTTAGTTTTATTTATTTACTATTATTATTTTAAATGGAGGTACTGGGGATTGAACCTAGGACCTTGTGCATGGTAAACATGCAGTCTACCACTGAGCCATACTGTCTCCCTCAAAACCATGTTTGCTGTTGTTATCCAGCACTCCACAGACTACTCCATCCTATGCTACTACCAGTAATTATTTTAGTAATTGTGTTGCTCTTGCTTGGTATGAACTACTAGTGTCACAGTATTTAGCAAGCATAAGAAGTCATCTTTACATTCCTTAAATATGTGAGCAACTCAGTCTCAATCTTGCCTTGATATTCTGTTTTGTAGGGACATTTTTGATAAAAATATTGTATCAGTTATGGTCCTGGCAGGAAACATAATTCCACTCAAGTGTTTCACCTGTAGAACCTTTATCAGAAGAATGGTGGACAAGTTAGAGGAACCAACAACATTAAAATATCCAGAGATTAGCAATGGAAGAAAGCCATAGAGTCCCTTTGATTAAAGGAGTAATGCAGATAAATAGATGCTAGCTAGCTAGCTAGATTTCTCTCTCCTTCCCTTGTTCTTACCTGTTGCTAATGCCTTTCACTAGCCAAACCCAGTCAGAGGCCACCTGGAAACAGAGCTCACATATTCATAGGGGTCGACCTTCCAGTGCCCTGAACAGGGAAGAGAACGTCTGAGAATGGATCTGGGGGTAAATACGCAAATAGAGAATAAACAAATCTCACATATTATGAACCAAAAATCAAAATAGACTAAGCAAGATTGCTTTGGAAACGGTAATTATAAGACTTAAGAAAACCAAACTAAATTGACAATATAAATTATAAGCTATTACAAATTGTAGATATAAACTATAGAAACCTGTCTACATGTAGAATGAATAAATAAGTGGAAGGAATCTAAAATGAGAAATATAAATGTTAAAGGTTGAGAAACTGAAAATTGTAGGAATTTCTAGTGATGAACAGAAGTGAGGCTCTCTGTTTCTCTATTTTATCTACACCTCCTGGCCCATTGTAGCCCTGATAAAATGAATGGATGGATGAATGAATAAACACTGAAAGTAGGAAGAATAAAGGAAACCAAATTGATACTAAGATGTTAATTTAAAAAAATTTGTATTGACATGCAGATGATTTATATTATATTAGTTTCAGATGTATAACATAGTGATTCAGTATTTTTATGGCCCATATTCCATTAAAAGTTATTACAAGATAACGGCTGTAATTCATTGTACTGTACAATACATCCTTGTTGCTTATCTATTTTATACAGAGTAGTTTGTATCTCTTAATCTCATACCCCTAATTTGCCTCTACCCTCTTCCCCTTCAGTAACCATGAGTTTGTTTTCTGTGTCTGTGAATCTGCTTCTGTTTTGCATGTACATTCACTTGTATTATTTTTTAGATTCCACATATGAGTGATATCATACAGTATTTGTCTTCCCCTGTCTGACTTATTTTACTAAACATGATATTCTCTAGGTCTATTCACATGGCTGTTAATGGCAGAGTTTCATTCTTTTTTATGGCTGAGTAATATTCCATTGTATGTATGTATACATCTTCTTTATCCATTTGTCTGTTGATGGGCAATTGGATTGCTTCCAAATCTTGGCTATTGTAAATACTGTTGCTATGGACATAGGGGTGCATGTATCTTTTTGAATTAGTGTTTTTTTTCCTGGATATATACCCAGGAGTAAATCTGCTGAATCATATGGTAGTTCTATTGTAGTTTTTTTGAGGGACCTCCATCCTGTTTACCACAGTGGCTGCAAGGACATTTTTAAAAACTAAACGCAAAACAAATAATAAAAGCAAAACCACTTCTGAATTATTTGAAACAGAAAGTAAAAATCAATTTTAAAGGCATAAATAAAAATCAAGCCAGCCTTGGATTTTTCCACTGCAACAATGAATATCACATATTCTTCTAAAGAACTTTCAGAGAAAAATAATATTACCTAAGAATTTGGAGCCAACTCAACTAGTTGTTCATATGCAAAACGAACAGAAGAATGTTGTAAACACTATATTTCATCAAATCTGAGATTCACTGATTGTAAGATACACTTTATTCTATTAACACAAAGAAAGGAAAACTCTTCCAATTAAACTTTTAACACGGTGTTTTAACAAAGGTCATAGTGACACACGGATTATACTGACATTACTTTCCCAGCTTGTTGTGTGATAAGGCAGTCATCTCGCGTGTGTCCCGGTAGTAAAACATAATTCAGTTACATCTGCTTGTGGTTTTCTTCCTTCCTTAGGTCCTATAAAAAACTTGGGGTTGTTCTACCATAAAATGTGGTGTTGTGGTAATTCTTCCAGTGATGTTTGCTTTATAGATAAATATATGCCCTGCTTGTTTCCCTCTTTGCTGCACCCACAATTTTGTTGCAAAACCAAATTATAATGTAATATTTTCACACTTTAAGTAGCATTAGAACTCAACATGTATTATACTAGTGATTCAGGAAACTCAACATGATGATGGTTTAAAGAGCAGAGACAAAAGTACATGCATGTGTAGCCAGTTGACTGCTGTAGCATAAGTGCCCCCTAGTGGACAATGATTGTAAGACACATCAATTGTAAAACACCTCAATTTCCAAGGTGCTAGAAGAGGGGGGGGGTCTTATGTTTATAGATGAAATATGGCAAATTGAACCCTAACAACTGTAACAGTTAATTTTACGTGTCAGCCTAACTGGGCCAAGGGGTGCCCAAATTAAACATCATTTCTGAGTATGTCTGTGAGTGTGATTCTGGATGAGATTAGCATTTGAATCCATGGACTCAGGAAAGTAGACTGGCCTCCCCAGTGTGGGTGGGCATCCTCCAGTCCATTGAGGGCCTGAGTAGAACAAAAAGGTGGAGAAGAGAGGAATTCATC